ACAGCCCACTTCTTCGGATCCGAAGAAGTGGGCTGTAGTCCACGAAAGCTTATGCTCTAATAAATGTGTTAGTCTCTAAGGTGCCACAAGTACTCCTGTTCTTTTTGTATATGCATTGTTCTATATTGTATTGTTCTATGTTATTATTTTTAGTGATTGGCGTTGCAGTAGCACCAAGGAGCCCCAGTCACGGTCCAGGACCCCCGGGTGCTAGGAGCTGTACAAACGCAGTACTAATGGACAGTCCCTGCCCCAAAGAGGGAGCTGACAATCTGCATAGGGCTCTATCTTAGTTAGCAGTCCGTGATGTTCTTGCACATAGTCTGTGTATCTCACAGCACATGAGACGGGGGCAGTGTCTCCCACAGCACATGAGACGGGGGCAGTGGTCTACAGCACATGAGATGGGGGTAGTGGTCTATGGCGGTGTAACTCCATCAGTTAGGAGTGTGGAAAATCCAACGCAGTTATACCAACCTCACCCGCGGCGCAGACAGAACTATGTCGGCAGGAGAGCGTCTCCTGTGGCCATAGCTACCGCTTCTCGGGGAGGTGGTGTCCCCACACCGACAGGAGAAGCGCTGTAAGTGTAGACCAACCCTAAAGTCTGGGAAAGTGTCACTGTACTGCGTGCCGCCCTCTGCCTTGGTTTGCTTTGCAAGCCTCCCTTTGGTAACTTGGCCATTCAGCCCCCCCGGTCCAGGGTTACGAAGTCCAGCAGGACCACTGTCTAAATGCCCTCTCTGGACGGTTGTCAGCCCCAGCGCGGGGCTCTCTGCCACTATACTGCTGGCTAGCAGGGGAAGCCAGCCTCATCCCTTCAGCAGGGTCCAGCCCAGGGATCCTATAACCAGCAGCCAGCTCTGCTCAGTGCCCATCGCTGTCACTCCTTCGACCAAGCCTCTCCATCTTCTCGTGCCTGGTTCTGGGTTTACCGTGGGCATGTACTCTGCTCCCTGTGGCTACCCTTCCAGCTCCTTACCAGACTCCCTAGTCCAGGGCAGGCTCTCAGGGGTGACTCTCCCCCTAGATTTCCCCTTGCCCCCTAATGAGCCCAGCCTCCCAGAGCATGCCCACAAACTTCTCCTCTGACGTCTGCCTGCAGCTTCCTGTCTTTCAAGTGCTGTCCCAGCCCTTCCCCAGCTGGGCTTCACTTTCAATTAACCCTGGTCCACCCTCTCCCAGGCAATGCCCAGTAACCTAACTGGCCTCTCTGGCCCTCCTTAATCCCACCAGGGCTGACATGGGGTGCACACCCCAGCCCCGAGGGTCTCCACAGACATACTAGCCACTGAAAAGGGGGCGAAAGACCCATCGCTCCCTCCGCAAATGGCCTTGAAATACTTTATATTCTAAGGGCTCAACGTCAATTTTTGCTTCCAGCACATAATGTATTAAGAGGATGCGAACAGCACAACACAAGTACATCATCAGTATTCTCATGGCATTACTTCCAAAGTACTTGTGTTCAAATATAGTCGGCTATTAGCAAAGGGTGGGTGTGTGCCAGACTAAAGAATCAAGTTGAACATTTCCACTGTAAGGCTATCATCTATCTATCTATCCATCTATCTATCTGTCTCCATACACCCCATCTATCTATCTATCTATCTATCTATCTGTCTCCATACACCCCATCTATCTAGCTAGCTAACTAGCTAGCTCCATACACCCCCTCTATCTATCTCCATACACCCCATCTATCTATCTAATTATCTATCTATCTATCCCCATACACCCCATCTATCTATCTATCTATCCTCATACAATCTATCTATCTATCTATCTATCCCCATCCACCCCCTCTATCTATCTATCTATCTATCTATCTATCTATCTATCTATCTATCCTCATACAATCTATCTATCCCCATACACCCCATCTATCTA